CAGGTTGAGGCTGCGGTGACCGGGAGCGGCCACTGCACTCCAGTCTGGGTGACAGAGTGAGACTCCAACTCAAAAAAAATTTTAAAAATTAAAAAAAATTGTGGTATGTTACACATGAATAGTATAAAACCTTGTAACAATGAATTGTAGTTTACATGCAACAGTACAGGTGAATCTCAAAAACATAAAATGTCTCAAGAGAATAAGTACTGTATGAATCCATTTATATAAAGTTTAAAAACATACCAAACTAAACAATATATTGTTTACAGATTCGTACATGTAGGAAACTATCAAGAAACACAAGGGGGCTGGGTGCTGTGGCTCACATCTGTAATCCCAGCACTTTGGGAGGCCGAGGTGGGAGGGTTGCTTGAGACCAGAAGTTCGAGAACAGCCTAGGCAACATAGTGAGACTTTGTCTATACAAAAAATAAAAAAATTAGCCGGGCCTGGTGGTGCATGCCTATAGTCCCAGCTACTCAGGAGGCTGTGGAGGAAGAATTGCCTGAGTCTAGGAGTTCAAAACTGGTGAGCCGTGATGGTACCACTATGCTCCAGCCTGGATGACAGGGTGAAACCCCAGCAAAAATAAAAAATAAAAAAAACCCAGCAACAACAACAACCAAAAAAACTCCCACACATACAAGGAAATTATAAACATAAATTTCAGCCTAGTATTTATCTTGGAGGTGAGAAGTAAGGGAATGGGTTTAGGGAGGCATACCTGGGACTGCAGGGGTAATAATAATGTGATTTTTCTTTACCTGAGTGGTGGGTTCACAGGTGCTCATCGGGTTATGATTATGCATTTTATAAAGATATTTTATCTGCCCAGCATTTAATAAAAATAAATTTTCAGCAACTAGAAAAATAGAGGGTAGAAAGAGGAGACAGAAAGTCAGTGCTAGGAGACTGAACCAAGTATGCAAAGTTCTGAGGCTACGTGGGGACCACATCTCCAGAGGGCAGATCTGCCTTGAGAATTCTGAGCTAGCTGGTGGGCCAGAAACGTCCTGTTTATGTGAGTGCACTGAGTATCTGGGAGAACTAGGGAAGGAAATTTTATGGCTAATAGTTGGGTCCTCAGCACAGCCTTGAGCAAAGAGGAGAGATAATGTTCTTGTCCTCAAAGTCTGGAGGAGGTGTCCCAAGGAGGGAATGAGCACATTCTCTGAAAAGACTTGAGAGTTGTGTGCCCAAATTTGCAACCCTGGCTTGGGATGTCTTTCAGGAAGATATTGGAGAGGGCTCTGCAAAGTGCTTTTTGTTTCTTTTTTGAGCCAGGGTCTCACCCTGTCTCCCAGTCTGGAGTGCAGTGGCAGGAACATAATGATCACAGTTCACGGCAGCTTCGATCTCCCAGCTCAGGCCTTCCTTCCACCCCAGCATCCTGAGGTGCATGCCACCACACCCGACCAATTTTTAAAATTTTTTGTAGAGATGAGTTTTCACTGTGTTGTCCAGGCTGGTCTTGACTCCTGGACTCAAGCAATCTTCCTACCTCAGCCTCCTGACATGTTGAGATTACAGGCATGAGCCACTGGGCCTGGCCTCTGCAAAGTTTTTAGCAGCAGAATACTTTAAAGAAATCATTTGTGAATTCCTCCCCTAACCCCCAAGCACATGTAGAACAGATAAGAGAGAGCACCACGTTGGAATTCACATAGAATGGCAAAGTCATATTATCTAAGCTTTTTTTGTGATTTTTTTTTCCTCACAGAGGCATGGCTGGTAGCCTGCATGATCCTGGCAACAGAGTTAACTAGAGGCTAGGGAGCCCTGACCCGGGGAAAGAACTAAGCTGACAACTGATACATGGCTCTGGTGCCTTTGGATCTGAGGGCCCGCTCTGACCCCCGGTTCCTGGGAGGTTCTGGGGAGCATTAAAACTACTGATGTAAGTGTTATTCTTCAGTGTTTTTTGATCCACTCCTTTGGGGACCTGCTTTATGTGCTGTGGTAGAAGTGAGGCAGGCATAGTTAACATAGTTTAGAAGTAGTTAGGCAAGTTTTCTTAGGCAGGTTTAAATTAAAATAGGAGCTGGGCACAGGGGCACATGCCTGCAATCCCAGCAATTTAGAAGGCTGAAGCAAGAGGATTGCCTGAACTCAGGGATTCAAGACCAGCCCGGGCAACTTGGCGAGACCTCGTCTCTACAGTAAATTTTTAAAAATTAGCTGGGTGTGGTGGCACATGCTTGTGGTTCCAGCTACTTGGAAGGCTAAAGCAGAAGGATCACCTGAGCCCAGAAGGTCGAGGCTGTGGTGGCTGTGACTGTGCCACTGCATTCTAGCCTGGGCAACAGAGTGAGACTCCGACTCAAAAAAAACTAAGATAGTGTAAGCATGCAGACATCTTTCTTATCCATACATGACCTTCACCCAACCGACTAGACACATCAGACCTGACTACCTTGTTGTGGACTAGAATGAGAGGCAGTGCAGTAAATCACAGAAATGATAGGGGGTTACCCAAAACATAGGTATGATGTTCTAAGAAAAACCCAAATCTCATTAGACAGTAACTTCCATTATTTATTTATTTATTTTATTTATTTATTTTTTTTATTTTTTGAGTTGGAGTCTCATTCTGTCACCCAGACTGGAGTGCAGTGGCCGCTCCCGGCCACCGCAGCCTC